AACTCATGATCTTAGCCCACTGAGACTCATTCACACTTCTGACTGCCAGGATTATAATTAATTGGTGTTAAGACCCATATGAAATGTCTGGCAATTCGTTATAGCAGCAATAGGAACTAATACAGTGGCTGCAAAAAAAAAAAAAAAAAGTTTCTCTTCCATCAGAAAGAATGCTACCAGCCCATTTTTTAGGAAATGGAAAGACTTGGAAAAAAAATCACATTTAAGTGAAATAAGACAGACCCAATTTGCGATAATTAGTATGCATCTAGGATAATCTTATCCTATGAGCAGAAAAACTCAAAAGCTATGTACATATGATCATATAAGATGATGATAAGGACAGAGGAAGTCTTTCTTTGTTGTTGTTGTTTTTAATGTACTATGCGATTTTTTTCGTTTCTTTTGTATGTTCTTCCCCCTACAGTATATCCCCTGTTGTCGCTGTATTTGATTCTGGTACCCTGCATCTTGTATATACATTTATCTGATTTGGGGAGGGGAAGGGGAATAACAAAATGCTGAAACAAGGACACAGGATGACCCATTGCAACAATGAGACTCACAAGACATCGTGTTGGAAATGAACTTTACAACTTGGGGGCAGGGTTGGGAGGAGAAGTGGAGAGGTGGGGGAGGAAAGGGATAGTAGGAGAAAAACAAAGGAGGAGGTAACAATGCAGGACAAGAAATGTACCTTACTGATTACCTTACTGATGTAACTGTAACCCCTCTGTACAGCATCTTTACAATAAAATTAAATTTTAAAAAAAGTTTCCCAAAGGTTCCTATCAGAATGACTGATAGTCTTGATGGGCTCCTCTCATGGCATGATCCTGAAAGATCACTGAGAGAACAAGTAGGTGGAACTCTAGTAGTTTACTTACTTAGTCATAGAAAGGGAGAATCCCATGTAATCCAAGTACCAAATAAAGGTGATAGAACACAAAATAAGACTCTATAACAATGTAAGAAAAGTCATTGCCTTTGAACTCAGAACCTATCACTTGTAAACAGCTCAGAGACCATGGATCTGTGGTGTGCTGGTGGTCAGTTCTGGCAATTTGTGATGTCTTCTGCTAACAGACACCAGGCTTCATTTTAATCTTGAGAGCAGAGGAAGAGGAGAGGAGGGAGAGGATGGAAGTCCTCACAAAATATATTCTCCAAATATAATAGGTGCAAAATAATCAGACTTGCTGTGCTGCCCAGAATAGCAAGACAGTGGGCATCTCCTGAAAGTTGTTATCCATAAGTGCATCCATAAGGATGCTTAGGTAAAGGGAGTGGTCAACAGGATGGAGAACAGGGAGAGAAAGGGATACTGAAGGATGATAAGGACCAAAGGACATTGTGTGTGTGTGTGTGTGTGTGTGTGTGTGTACAGTGTAATGACCCACCAAATACTGCTTGAAAAAAGAAGGAGCTGGAGGCTTTATGAAGGAGTAAACTACATAAATGTATGGAATGAAACAATGAAACTGACTCATTAATGTGTGCTAATTCAAAAATACCATAAATTAATTTTTAAAATGTTTTTTACTTGATATTATCAACCAAATCTGTAGATTTAAACCTTCTAGATCAGTAAAATTTAAGTCTGAAAAAGAAAAGGCCAGGCAGGCATGAATGGCTACTCAGGAAGCTGAGACCTAGAGGATCACGGTTTAAAGCCAGCCTGAGCAAAAATGTCTAGGAGACCTTATCTCCAATTAACCAGGGGAAAGTGAACTAGAGGCATGACTCAAGGAATATAAAGTTGAGTGAGAGCGTGAGGCCAAGTTCAAGCACATGTACTGGCAGATAAATTGGAAGGAAAGAAAAAAGTTGTCACCCCTGGCCCCAAACTGTCTGGAAAAGGAGATGGAAAGAAAAAAACCCAGCATGTTAGTAAGTGAAGTTATACATAATTTTTATTGATTGTTGAAAAGAAGAAATTGGGTTAGCCATGAACTATCTAGAAACTTTATAGAATTAAACATTTCTCACTATCTGAACTTTTTGCACTATTATCCATGTTGGGGCTTTAAAACTCTATTTTAGTTTCTTCTCTCCACCAAGGCACAAAACCAACTAAGAAAGCTGAAGAAACCAGAAAAAAGAGATCAAAACGTCAGCTTTCTTAGTAACCAATTATTTGAGAAAAAAAAAAGACTTTTAGTGCAGAAAAACAATAGACTTCTTTATAGAAAGAAAGAAAGGAGAGAGGGAGGAAGGGAGGAAGGAAGGAAGGAAAGAAGGAGGGAAGGAAGGAAGGTAGGAAGGAAGGAAGGAAAGAAGAGAGGAAGGGAAGAAGGGAGGGAGGGAAGGAAGTTGCCAGTGGCTCATACTTCTAGCTACTTAGGAAAATGAGATCTGAAGATTATGGTTTGAAGCCAGATCATGCAGGAAAGTCTGTGAGACTCTTATCTCCACATTACCACCAAAAAGCCATAAGTGAAGCTGTGGTTCAGCCTTGAGTGACAAAGCTAAGGGGGACAGGGCTAAAGTCCTGAGTTCCAGCACCAGTACCAAAAAAGAAAAAGAAAAACCAAAAGAATGAAGCATAATAATCTACTCTGCCACCCCAAGGCTAGCTGAATGATGGGATCCCTAGCACAGAGCTGTCCATAGTTGGATCCTGATTTGAATTCAGCAAAGTCTGAGATAGGCTGCTTGCCTCCACCTCCTCAATCAAGTAAGTCATGGGCCCCAGGAAGTAGCTAGGGGGAAATGGAGGCCAAGGGTGTTAGAGGGAATAAATGTTCTCCACCTGATCGTTACCGCTAAATGGTAGCAAATGAAACTATGCTATAATTAAGCAAAGTAAGTAATTATATTGCAAAATTAGCATGATCTCACTGAAGATCGCTCACCCCAAAGCCTCCATATTCCTGAGAAGATGCAGGCTCAGATGCATGACTAGCCGTCCAGTGTGGCCATATACACACCATGTCTGTTGTCTGCATAAATCAGAGTTGGGTCAATGTTATCCTTATGATTACATCGTTTCACTTTGAGAGAAAAGAGGGGCAGGATTTCAGACAGCATTAGAGAAATTACTCAGCTTGCCTTATCTGTAAAGAAGCTCATATTGAAAGGCATTTAGTGGTGACATTAATAGTAGAAGAAAATTGTGGAGAGTTAAAATGTCCCTAAAGAGCTGGGAAGGTGGCTCAGTGGTAGAGTGCTTGCCTTGTATGCATGAGGCCCTGGGTTAGATTCCTCAGCACCACATAAACAGAAAAAACCTGAAGTGGCGCTGCGGCTCAAGTGGTAGAACACTAGCCTTGAGTTGAAGAGCTGAGGGACAGCACCCAGGCCCAGAGTTCAGGCCCCACGACAACAACAACAAAAAAAGAGTCCCTAAAAGCCAGGTGCTAGTGGCTCAGGAGATGTGAAATCTGAGGGTAGCGGTTTGAAGCCAGCCTGGGCAGAAAAGTCTATGAGACTCATACCTCCAATTAACCAACAAAAAGCCAGAAGTAGAGATGTGGCTCAAGTGGCAGAGCATTAGCATTGAACACAAAAGATTGGGGATGGTGTCCAGGCTCTGAGTTCAAGCCCTAGTGTTGGCACACACAAAAAAAGTTCCTGAGTTATTGTTATAGATATTTCTTTTTAATTTTCCTTAAGGGTAAATCTGATTAAGAAAGAAAATTAACATTTTTTTCTCCTAGAAAAGCATGAATGTCAGCATAACACATGGGCAAGAACAATCCTGCAAACAAACATTTTTGTTAATAAAATAATTACAATATTGAGTAAAAGCAGACCAGGTAATGAAATTTCTGAAATTGCCAGGATAATATTATCTTTATGAAAGATTAATTCACATAGTGCATATAAACTACATATTGGGGAATGTTTAATCCTTGCAGACTTTCTCCTGATGGATTGAGATCTAGAAAAAAATGATTAAGCTTTAGTAAAAAAAAGGTCATGATATGATCCTTAGGACTAAAGATGTGGTTCAAGTAGTAGAATGCTTGCTTAACAAGCATAGGATCCTGAGTTCAAACCCCAGTACCACCATAAATAAATAAATTAAATCTTGTTTTATAAAGGTGTCACTTAAGTGGGAGAGCACCAGCCTTAAGCAAAAATATCTGATAAAGGGAGTGAAGCCCTAAGTTCAAGCTAGCACATAAAAACAAAATCAATGAATAAATCTCCAAGCAAAAACATAAAAGATCATGATTCTAAACCTTCACGTTTACTTTCATTATAAAACCACTTATTTTATTGTAAATTAGCCATACACTTATATTTATTATAAAATAATCATTTTGAGATTTGTAATAGATTATTTAATTATTCATTTGCTTATTAAATAAATTCATGTCTGCTTTTATAAACACAGTGACCTGGAGTTTGACAGCCTTTCTTTTATGGACCTTAAAAACACTCTCAAATTTCATGGTTTTGTCTAATTCTCAGAATATGGAACAGAATGTTTATAAATTGCTAAGGAATAAAGTTTATTTAAAAATGAAGGAGGAGGAGGAAGGCGGCGGCACTGGTGGCTCATGCCTATAGACTACTCAGGAGACTGAGATCTGAGGATCACAGTTCAAAGCCAGCCCAGGCATGAAACTCCTTGAGACTCTTATCTCTAATTAACCAGCAAAAAACAACAACAACAAAAAAAAAAGCCAGAAGAGGAGCTATAGCTCAAGTGCTAGCCTTGAGCAAAGAAGATTGGGGACAGTACCCAGGCCCTGCATTTAAGCCCTAGGCAGGCACCCAAAAGATTTTTAAAAAAGTAAATAAAAAGGGAAAACTCTTTTCTACCACCTTCCTTTCTTTTTAGGAAAACCTTAGGTTGGCCAAGAATAGATTTGCCCTTAACAACAACTCAATGCTGTTGCCAAGTGATTGTGACATAGGAAAAGTAATCACCAATCAGAGAGAAGACCTGGCAGCCTGATTGTGACTCATCACTATAAATAGGAGTACTTCTGTCCATGCTTAGGCCCTTCCTCTCTCCATGCCTGCCCGATACAGGGAACAACATCACTATGGCCAGATCAAGCAACGGAAAGTCGAGATTCTTCGGAGGAAATCTAAGCCCAATCTCCAGAAACAAGTCGCACTCCACCACCAGTATTGGCCGTAGAAATTATTCACTCTACATAAACAAGATTCTGAAGGAAGTTGTTCCCTGTAGGAGCATATCATCTAGCACCGTGGACTTCTTGAACACCCTGATCAATGAAACCTTTGCAATGATTGCTGTGGAAGCCCGCCAGCTGATGAATTACAGAAAGCGTTGTACTCTCACCCCAGAAGATATCCAGAAGGCAGTCTATTTGCTGCTTCCTAAGAAACTTGCTAGATATGCAGTGGCTTTTGGAAGTGAAGCGGTCCATAGATTTGTCCACTCCTGATCAACATGTTCCAGCTTCCTTGAATCCTGGAGTAAACTATCCAATCATGAAGGCTGACTTTTTTTTTTAATCTTCATACTAGTTCTGGGTATTTTCTTATTTCTCTTATCTCTAAGGACAACTTACTTTGTTGCTATTTTACCTTTTAACTATTTGACTAGATTTTTCCTACACCTGTCAGAAACATTGTCCTTTTTCCTATGGATGCACAAGCCTCAATGTGCAATTTTAATGCTACTTTTATCTATAAGGTATTGTTAATAGGTACAAGATTATTTGGTCTAGTTATGGCTACTAGATCTTGAATTTGAATTTAGAAAGATGAGCATGTTAATCAAAAGTATATGAGCACTGCTAAGTTTTCATCAGAAAAAAAATCTATTTTAATTGGGTGTTAGTGGCTTGTGCCTATAATTCTATCTACTCAGAAGGAGTTTGAAGTTCAAGACTCTTATCTCCAATTAACCAGAAAAAAAGATAGATTGGAGGTGTAGAGTACCAGCCATGAGTGAAAAAGCTAAACAAGATCATGAGGCCCTAAGTTCAAGACCCAGTAACACTCTCCACCACACACAAAGTATTTTATAGAACGAATTCCATTCAATCAATCTAGTTCTTTAAGGAGTACTTTATAGATCATGTTAACTATTTCCTTTTTAGGTCTTGCTTCTTGCATTTGATGTTCAAATCAATGGTATCTTAAACATTTGGTTCACTGAAGCTAACGGCTCTCCATTTATAACCACTCTCCACTTATAATGCCAATAGCTTATAAAACCCAATAGCTTACCACCCAACTTATGAACTTTAAGAAGTTTACAAAGGTCATGGGCTCTTCCTAATGCCATCTCCCTGTCTAGTCACCTATCTAGCTTTCTTTCCTATTCTTTTGCTTTGTTCTGCTACCCATACAAACACTTCTAGCAGAATTGTTCATGCCACTGATGGTACAACGCAGGGTTACACTGAGAGTTTTCCTGTGATTGACTATTACACCTGGTCACACATGTATCAATGGTTTGTTCTTTTTATTTCTATATTATTCAGTATTTCACAGTATGAATATGCCACCATTCTTATGAATTCTCTGTTAAAGGTGACTTGGGTAGCTTCCTGATTTTTTAAATTGTTGTCCTGGAGTTTGAACTAAGGGCCTGGACATTGTCTCTGAGCTTCTTTTGCTCTAGGTTAGTGCTCCACCACTTGAGCCACAGTGCCACTTCCAGCTTTTTCTGAGTAGTTTATTGAGGATAAGAGACTTTCCTACCTGTTTTTGTGACTAATGCTGCTATAATAATTGGAGTTCTGAAAATAGCAAAAACCACATATAGCATGTGCCCAACATTCTACATACATTAACCCCAACAGCCTTATGAGGATTAAATTATTCCCACCATCACCACCCAGATAATAAAATGGGGCTCAGAGAACTAAGCAACTTGTGTGAGGTCACAGAGCCACAAGGCTGTGTAAGTGGTAAAGCTGGGATTTTATTAGGTCACTGAGTCTGCTATAGACATACTACATGCTGTGGATATTCTTATACCCATCTTTTGCTACCCAGAATCCTTCAGGAAAAATATTCTAAGGAGGGAATTTGGGGGTTCTGATAGAAGTGGATGACAGAATTTTTTTTTTCTGGTTGCAAGGAACACACAAATTTCTCCAAGAGTAAAACAACACACACACACACACCCCACACACCATCTGTTTGAACTAATATTTATGTGAGGATTGCTCCATTACACACTTAGGGTCCGCTCTGTTTCTCCTGGTCGGTCTCACATCTAAAACCTTCCCTGTCAGAGTTTCAGGAAATAAACTCAGAGGTTCTTCTCATCCTATTCAACTTGGTACCAGACAGATTGCTGGTTACCTACAGTCTAGTATCTTAATCAGATGTCTCCATCTATTTTGTGAGTGTAGTTCGATGACAGAACGGCCTCATGATCTAACAGGCCAGCAAGATTACAGCTAGACAAGAGATGTTACAGTGTCAGTCCAGTTGGTGTCAGTCCTAAGGCTTGAACTCAGGGCCTGAGTGCTGTCCCTTTTGATAAAGGCTAGTCCTCTACCACTTACGCCATAGCTCCACTTAAGTCTTTTGGGTTGTTTAGTGGAAATAAGAGTCTCACCAACTTTCCAACTGCAGTCCTCAGATCTCAGCCTCCTGAGTAGCTAGGATTACAGGGGGGAGCCCCCAACCCCCAGATAGAATCATATTTTGAATAAACCCCCAAGCCCAGGTTTTAACATTGTTACAAAGACATACATAAATTGAAGAATACTCAGTAAGCTTAATGTGGGCCACAAAGCCTAAATATAGCCCTATATTACATAAAATGACTTTCAGCAAATGATGGATTATATTTGTAATTGTGGGCTCTGTAGATTATAATGCAGCAGAACAATTGGGTACGTGAATATCAGTATGTTATAGTTGTTAGCAGAATTCAAGAAAATGGCATACTGTACAGGTACGTAGGCTGGGAACAATAGGCTAGAGCATCCAGGTTTGTGTAAAGACCATCTATGAGGTCTGCACAATGACAAATTGCCTGATAATGAAGTCATCTAACAATGCATTTCTCAAAGACTAAATACCTGGATATTTACAGGAAAAGTTTGTAGACCACTGGTTTTCACAATGCTGTTATATTTGCAAGGCTTATAATGTCTATAGCAGTATTTGAAGCCTTTGTCAGTTTACTTCAGCTCACAAATATAAATATTATATAGTTGACTTTTCAAGCCATAAGAATAAAGAGGATAAATGCAAATGCTATTCAATAATTTGGGCAATGTAGTCAGGTACCGATGTCATACTCCTGTAATCTTAGCTCCTCTGAAGGCTGAGATCCAGAGGATCAAAGCCACTCCAGAAAGAAACAACCAAGAGATAGGAGTTTGGCAAAAGGTGAGACTGGAGGCATGTCACAAGTAGTGGAGTGCCAGCCAAGATAGCAAGCTAAGCAAGCAAGCTAAGCAAGCAAGCTAAGTAAGCAAACTAAGTAAGCAAGCTAAGTAAGCAAGCTAAACAAGCAAGCTGATAAGTATCAAAGTCCCAAGTTCAAAACCCAGCACAAGAAAGGAAGGAAGGAAGGGAAGAAGGGAGGAAGGAAGGAAGGGGAAGGGAGGGAGGGACGGAGGGAGGGAGGGAAGGAAGGAAGGAAGGAAGGAAGGAAGGAAGGAAGGAAGGAAGGAAGGAAGGAAGGAAGCCAGAGTAGCTACTTTAAAGTAGGACTTGAACCCTGGTTACTAAGACAGAGAAACCAGATAGAACACAGGTCTCCAATAACTGCTTTTCTAATCCATGATTGACATAAGAAAAATAAACTTTTGTTTAAACTTTTGTCTTAATGTTCTATCATCATTCATTCTCAAACCTAATTCTAATACAGACATCCAGAAGATTATTGGCTGCTACACAATGCAGTTAGTTTCAAAATGATGACATACTTATTAAATAAAAACAAATTAATCTAGAAATGGAGGATGATGAATGCCCTGTGTACTGGCCAAATGATGTAGCTGTAAAAATGAACTCTCCTCCCATTTAGCCGCCACCTCCAGGCATGTGGTACAGATGGCAAGAGCTTACTCATTAGTAGTCTGCTGTACACATGACAGGAATTTGCCAACCACATGAGCAACATATGTTTTTGGTACTTTGAGACAGTACTGCCATGTAAATATCTGTCAGGCATGTGAGGGACAGCTTTAAATAGTGACATGCATGATACCACCAGAAGGTTCAAAGTACAGAACATCTGGCCAAAGTCAAGTGGCCTGCCAGCACTGGTGGCTTAAGACTGGTGGCTCTTCAGTGGATCTGAGAATTTAAGGTTCAAAACCAGCCTGGGAAGGAACTTCCATGAGACTCATGTCCAATTAACTACCAAAGGCAGAAGTGCAACTATGGCTTAAGTGACTCAAGTCGTAGAGAGTTACCCTTGAACATGAAAGCTCAGGGACAGTGCCCAGGCTCCTAGTTCAAATCCTAGGACAGGCGCACAAGCCTACGCGCATGCACACATGCACGCACGCACGCGCGCACACACACACACAAAGTCAAGTGACCTTGTGCCGAAGGTAACACTTGTTTAAAGCTTTCAAGAGGATAGTTAGAGATATAATAATCCTTAAGTTCATTTCTTATCTCTGTGCTCTCAGGTGCTGAGAGTGTTTCTTCTGATAGCTTATTGTTTCAAAATACATTTGGCAATATTAGGAAGTGAAAGATATGGGGAGAAAGCAGTAGGTTTATGTGTCCAATTGGAAGGGTAATCAATGCCTTCCAGATTAAGGGTCCAGGAAGTGGCGCTGTAGCTCAAGTGGTAGAGTGCTAACCTTGAGCTGAAGAGCTGAGGGACAGCGCGCAGGCCTAGAGTTCAAGCCCCACAACCGACAAAAAAAAAAAAGATTAAGGGTCCAGGGACTGGGAAGGTGGCTCAGCAGTAGAGTGCTTGCCTTGCATGCATGAGGCCCTGGGTTCAATTCCTCAGCACCACATAAACAGAAAAGGCTGGAAGTGACACTGTGGTTCAAGTGGTAGAGCACTAGCCTTGAGCTGAAGAGCTGAGGGATGGCGTCCAGGCCTAGAATTCAAGCCCCACAACCAATAACAACAACAACAACAAAAAAGATTAAGAGTTCAAAATAGGATTGCAGAGAAGTGGTGGCTGAAAGTGGTAGAGCACTAGCCTTGGATGAAAAAGCTCAGGGACAGTGCCCAGGCCCTGAGTTCAAGGACTCAAGGACTGGCAAAAAAAAAAAGGTAAATAAACTGGAAAATCAATCATCCATAACGGACATGAGTACCGCTTCTAAAATTGGAAAGACTAGCAAACACACATTGTAATTTAGTAGCGCAGATGAGCAGAAGAGTATCTTGGAGCCAGGGGTGAGGAAGGAGAACCTGACCTGTAATTGTAAGATTTCTGAGGCTCAGTGGCCGGAGAGTAGGGGTGGGGGAGCTGAGAAAAGCATAGCTTTGTGAA